GATGGTAAGTGATCACCGTTGTTCATGAACATCCGCAACACTCCGGGAATTACAGGTGCGTTGTCGGCCTTTTAGGAAGAAGTATGCTCTTTTCTTAAAGGTCCGTAAGTCGTATCGGTCGGGAAAAACCACTGGCGACAATATATTCCACAGTTTGGTTGTGCTATGTAGAACTTTCCGTGTAAATCGCACAGTAGTGGACTGCCAGCCATCGAGATGATGAGGATGAAATATGGAGTTCCGTCACAGTGTACGATGGTGGAATTCAGCAGCTAGAATTAATACGAACAATTTAACCTAATCCCCGTAATATATGCGGTAGAAGATGCACAGAGATACAACGTCTCTTCACAAAGCCAGTGAATCAAGCCGATCGGAAAGGACTTGATCGTGAATGATTCGGGTCGCTCTTCGTTGAATACGGTCAAATAGAAGGAGCTGATACTTGGGTTCTCCGGCCCAGAGATCAAAAAAGTATTCCATATGTGGCCAAACCTGCGCTTTGTGAAGCTGCAAGTGATGGGCCGGCATGAAATACCATCTCAATCTACTGAGCACACCAAGCTTTTTGGTTGCCGGCTAAGCCTTCCCTTCCGAGTGACTGAGGAACTGTACATCTCTTGAAATGTCGACGTCAAGGATTCCAATGCTGGCCAAGGCAACGAAAGCGGTGCCCTAAAATCGAGAAGATACGACAAAGGGGTTCTTTTTAGCGGTAAACGCGCAAACTTGTGTCTATTGGGAATAAAACTGGACTAGATTTAGTCGTCCCCAATCCGATACTTTATTTGACAAAGACTCGACTTCAGACACAAGTTTGTTCCGGCACTCTACGACGTATTCCCGAGAAATGTTAGCACGGCCGTGGTATAAAGCATTGCCAGTGCTGTCGCTTGAATAACGTATCTATATAAGTTTGCAACATATCATTGATAAGCAGATCTTTTTTTATCTTATATTTTTAGAAAAACGTTACACCTACACTAGAATTTTCTCCTGTATCGTGGAGGCAACTTACAAACACAAATTGCACAAGGACAAACATCCAGACCCGGAACCATAACTTGTAGGCCATATATACAAATACTTCCGTACGTGATTCGAACCCGCAGCCCCCAGCGCTGCAACCCATTGCTAAACCACTACGCCACGGAGCCGTCAGATGGAACAGGGTAGGCGATAGCACGCAGCCTTGTGAAACTCAAGCGATCACAGGCTTGGAGTTGGAGCATGCAACGTCGACTACGACCTTAATACTCCGATCTGTAAGAAACTGGTGACCCTACTTCATGAGTTTTCGGGAAGCCCATAAAAAAGGAGCTTCCGAAGCACTTTGTGCCAAACACAATCGAAGCTCTTCTATATTTCCAAACTTACCGCCAGGGCCTCTCCCTTGGTCTCAACTGCCTCTGCCCATCGGTGAGTCAGGTAGACAAAACGATCACCAGCTGAGCGACCTCGAAGGAAACCGTATTGGCTGTCACTAATCAGCTCTATGCCCGTAAGACGACAACAAAACGGTGCAAATATTATTATTTGGCGGCAGAAATAAAGGAGGCTCGTACCTACCCACACGGACTCATAGGCAGAAAAAAAGTCCTACCTAGACCTACCTAGAACTATCCATACCCATCTAGACCTAAAAATAATAATTCCAGCTATGAGTGTGTGTCCTTGTGTAATGCCTATATGTAAAAAAAATTAATATTTTTTTAATTCACAATTCACTATGCGGGAATAATTCCTAGACTATTATTTTTTTAATAAATTATTTCTATAGCCGATCTAAAAGTGAATTATAAAAGCTAATTAAGGAGAAAGAGCTTACAATAACATTGCTTTATTTTCCATTGTATTTTTTCATTTGTTTTCAGCTATTTTAATAAAATCCGAACGTCTTCTGAAGTAGTTGTAACAGGTCATGTTTTTGTCACAGGTCATTAATTAATATGGATGTCGGAGTAAAATACTTTAACATTAAAAAAAAGAATAATGTACAAAAAATATTAATACTATTAATGATATAGATAAAAAAAAATCGTCAGTAAAATATCATTTTTATTTTTTTACTTATTTTATACTTATTTATATTTTACTTTATCATACCCATGTGGTTCAATGTGTGTCGTAAGAGGCGACACAGGGAAACTGAAATTGGAGAAAACCAGCAACATCTTCTAGATTACAACTTAAAATTATAAAAAAAACTACTTTTGCCAACCCACCCGCCAAGCGTGGTAACAATGACAAAATCCCCTATGATTATGTACAGCAATGGTCTTTTAGGCAGCATAGACTGTAATGGATGGATGGACTACTACAACTTACAGAGTTTCGGTTTAATTTATGTGACATAAATGTATCTCTTTACAATTTATTACACCTCTAAGGGCACAAATAATATGTAAACTTTTTTTTATCATCAAATACTTAGGTTATATATAATATTTAATTGAGAAAAAGGGTCTTAATTGACGGGTAGACGGACGGACTAACAGACGGACGGACGAACAAAGGAGTGATCTATCGGCGATCTTTTAAAGTATGGAATCCTAAAAATACATAAGGCAAAAATATATTCTGGCAATATTGTTCAGGATATAGCCGTTTGTATTCTAACCCAATTTCAAAAAATAATACTTGCTACTTCATATCGGGTATGTAAAATTTTTAAAGTCAAAGTTTTCCAATAAAGGCCCAAGGTATATCGAAATTCAATAAACATAGAGCAACACGGGTCACCACACCGGCGGCGGACCGGAAAAGGAGTAGCGTCAATAAACGATCACGAAAAATGGTACTTACATTATTTTGAATCATGAAGTTTTTATATATCAACTGCTTTTTTCCTGAAATTGGTTTTAAATTTTAATTGTTTTAAACCAGTATTCTCCATTGCTGGAATAAAGACCTTTTAACATTAGTCTTCGTAAAATGATTTATAAATGACAACGAATGTAATAAATTCATAAGTTTTATTAACATTTACGTTATTAACATTACGTTTTATAAAATTGTATTTCATTTATGGTAATCATCATTTACAGCCTTTACCAAGCCCACTACTGAACAAAGGCCTTCCCCAAGGAATACTACAAATAACGGTCCTTAATCACCCGCATACATCGACTTCCTGTATGTCGTACTAGGCCGTCACTTTGTCTGGTAGGGCCGGCGAACACTTATTTTACCGGTGCTTAGTCAATTAAAACAACTATTAATTCCCGACGTTTCGGGTGCTTTACAACCCACGAAAGTGGAGGGGAGGGGGCTGAAGTGTTTATTAATTTTTGGTCTGATGTAACATGAATATGTGAGTAGTAAGAAGATAAAGGACGCACTGTAGGGCGTATTGAACAGTACTTGTACAACATTGCATTATTCAGTGTTAAGGCATTATCTACCGAGAAGTTCGTCTTGATTAGAACCATTTACACCTGCTAGAACCACGCTGCAGCTACATTATGATTGTATCACGCATAGGTCGACTTGACCGGGGAAGGACACAAAATACTAGTGTAAAGTAGCAGTTTAATGCTGCCCTCTTTCGTATGGTGAGTGTACAGAACCGCAGAACTTTTTTACTGGAAATGAGGCATTCAATCTTAGTCCTCAAGAGCGTCCACGTATCTGAATTTAGATTGTTAATCGAAGGTAGAAGTAGATGTTTATGGGCCACAGCATCACTTACCATCAAGTGCACTGTGTGCTCGTTTGTAAGCCTTATACTACAAAATCAAATAAAAACCACTCTTACCAATCCTTACCGTCGTGCAGCATTGCACAATAACTGTGGTTTTTTAAAAGGTTGTAAATGGCCAGTATAATCACAGGATGGAATAGATTAGAATAGAATAGTACAATTTTAAATTAATTTTCATAGGACCAGCATTGTGGCGATCACCTTACCCCCATGGGTTATTTTTATTCATGTATTCCTTGATACTGATACATATTCATACAGGCTTTGCGGCATTCCATCTGGACCCTCGAGGTGATGGCCCATCTGTAATCTCTTTTGTTTGAAGTTGTTTTATATTAATTGGTTGAATTATTTGTCTCTATGTAATAATTTAAAAGACCTTTTCTTTTTATAAACGATAGTTTACAATAAACTTTTAAGTTTTTGTTAACGGCTAACAGAAACGGAATGTTTTACGTGTAATAATCTTCTTAATACGCCTATAAAATAAGTCCAGGGCTTTATAAGAAATCTGGGTTTAATTATTCCTATATTTTTGTTTTAAAATTTTAAATGCTCCAGCTTCGTATCACTTCCAATATTGAAACAATTTTCTACGCCGCATGGAAATAATTACGGTTATTAAAATTATAATGAATACTTGGTTGATAATAGTTCCGGGGAAAGAGGTGATTGCTTCGAATGTGTTTCTAAAATAAATATTTTATGATTAAATTTAGAATCTATTTCATCATTAATTGTTACTAAAACAAATATTTTTTTTTTCGATCATGAGGTAAACATATGACTTTCAATTATTATTATTTATAATCTATATTAAATAAAATTTATTATATTTTCTCATATTTGGAATTTAAATGCGGTTGTTGAAATGGCCGCGGTCCATTTCGACAACCGCAAATCACAAGAACTTTTCTTTTGTAAAAAAAGTTGCATTTCTTCGCTTTAGGGACCTAGTACTGATGTCTCATTCACGAAATTTTAACTAAAAACCTGTAATTACCAGATTGATAATAATTAAAATAAAAAAAGTTTCACATCATTATAAATATTTTTTGACCAGTTTAAACAAATAAAAAACAAAATCGACTATATTTTTTTATATATACTTAACACGCGGATATTTTGTATGCTTAAAATACTTTTGAAAAAATATTATTTACTAAGCTGACTCGTGTAACTTTTTTATGAGTGCATTACAATGTATTATATATGCTATTAAATACAGATATTTTAATAAGTAATTTAAATAAAATATAATAATGGTAAAAATTAAAAAATACACATTTTTACTCACCATATCATCATAGAAAGGCATCAGGATAGATAGAATGCGTTGTATGTGATAAAAACATAACGTCCAGTTTACGTAAAAACCACTACATAGGGGCTGAGACGACCATTGTCCATAGCGGTCGTGAACAACATTCTCGAGTCCACCTATTTTGACCGTCTAACACTTTTCTAACCATTGAAAAAGGACACTTCACTTCACGTAAACTTTACCAAAATTATGAACCTTACTTTTCCCTAAATTTCCCGTAATTTTAATATGAGAACTTTAATGGTTAAAAGATAAATAAAAAATAAAAGAGTGAATTTTATGAGAGAAAAGCAATTTGAAGAGAAAATGAAACTTTCGAAAATATTCGACGATATCTATTTATTTCATGAGGCGTGCGCTCCCTACGAATCCTGAAATCAGACTGGCAAGAAAAACGATATCGTTTCAGTCAGTACATGTTCACATTTATCGCGTTTATCTCTAACTATGAAATTTGGCACATAAACACTTTAAAGTGTATATTATGTTTTAATGGGGTTTAATATCCTATTAAAATGTTAACTATTATTGGTATGTTTTCAAACTTTATACGTGGTAGAACCATGATGCAGCTGTATTAATTGTATAGTTGTAGCACGAATGGGTCGGCTCTACCGGGGAAAGACCACGCTCTCGCAGAATACCAGCGTAAAATAGCAGGTGGACTGTGTGCTCGCTTGTCATCCTTATCCCATTAAAAAAAACTTTAGCATTAAGATAAAACTATTATAGTACTCAGTATTATTAGTGATGTGATTCAGTATAAAATTCATTTGGAAAGATGATAGTTTATATGATTCTGCTATCATGCATCTGTATTTTTACTATTTAGCTTACATTGAGGAGAGAGGGTTATGAACAGCTGAAAATGAAATTTTTAATTACTGGCTGAGAATTATTCCATGTAAAAATTACTTTTAATAAATTACCTTTCACTTTATTTTCCTCTATGTTTTGAGAAATTTACCGTTACCGTTACAGTATATTAGAGTCCACTACCAAACATAGGCCTTCCACATAAATTACATCATAGTAGGGATATTGGCCATAGTTGCCATGGTTGGCAAGCGGGTAGAAAACCGCAGTTTTTTTTATTATAGTCGTTATTAGGAAGAAATTAGAAAGGGATAATATGGGGTAGTGGATATTCTTACACCGCCACTACACGGTCAATTATCGCTTAATATATAATAATTAAGAATTTAATCAATCATTATAAGTCGAATTAAAAAATAAGTAGGTTCTCAATTCGACCGTATGTTCTTTTTAACCGTCTAAAAAAAGGAGAAGGAGCGATATCTTCGTCAATTTTAAGTCGATTTCAATAATTCCTTTCTTTGTATACACTTAACGTAAAATCTTTGTCAAAAATGTGTGTATGTTACGCGATATATCGATTGTGAATCAATTTTGATGATTTTTTTTTTGAATAGATTATACTTTAAGGGTGGTTCTATATAAATTTTGAGAAAAAATTCCACCAAAAAAATATTTAATTGCTACACTTAGCAATTAAATATTTTTTATAGGATAGGGTGACAAACGAGCACACAGTCCACCTGATAGTAAGTGGTTGCTGTGGCCCATAGACATCTGCATCTATCCTCGATTACGAATCAAAATGCAGATGCGTTGTCACCCGTGAGGACTAAGATGGAATGCCTCTTTACCAGTAAAAAGGGTCTCATGTTCTCTACACTCACCATACGAAACACAGCAGTGTTAAGCTGCTATTTTACGCTGTTATTCTATGAGAGCGTGGTCTTTCCCCGGTCGAGCCAACCCATTCGTGCTACACCTATACCAGTAATATAGCTGCAGCATGGCTTTACCACGTCAAATAACTTCTTTTTTTGCAATTCGAATTTGGTTTTTGCTTTTTGTTAAAAGTTATAATTATAAGTTATACTTAAGAGGTGGCCCAATATAAATTAGATGAATGAATTACGTGAAGTTAAAAATATTTGAAATAAAGTTTTTAATTTATGTACTTGATGATACTAGAGCTTGTACTCATATTGCATAATCCATTTAAGTGTCAAAAAATTTGAGTTTTCTGCCGACTTCAAAAAGAAGACGGTAATCAATTCGACTGTATGTTTTTTTATGTGTGTTACCTCATAACTTTTTACTGGGTGAATCGATTTCGATGATTCTTTTTTTATTTGAAAGCTGGTGTTTCACATGGGTTCCCATATAAATTTGATCAAGGCCTGACTAATAGTTTTTGAGTTATTCTTAATAATTTTGAAGTCGGTTGTAAAAAAAATTTAATTTTAAATAATATTGAAAAGTAAGCCTCCTTCAGAAAAATAAAGATAATAAAGTAATTTGAACATAATAGCTTCTAAAATCAGGTATTTAATACTTTTAATTATATCTAAATATTTATTTATTTTTATTACGGCTTTTAATTTTTATTAAATGAATTTCTTTTTTGAAAATTCATAATACTTGCGTTATGATCCAATCTGAATAAGCAAACAATGTAGTCAAATTCAGCACAGTTGGGAAATCTCCGGATTTTGAATTACCACGCTCTCCTGTTTGGAACGCAACTGGGACCTCTATGCTTATTTTACATATTTCGGAAGCAATTCGAAATAGTTTGAGCGCGTTCTCAGTGCTACAGCGATGGCTTGAGATCACTTCTAAGCCAGCCTTGTGGTGGTCTTATTATGCGTTCGAGGAGCCGATTGTCCGTGGCTCCACAGGCCCCGATTCTGGTAGGGGAAAACCATCCTTAAAGAGAAGGGGCGTTCTGATAGTAATCTATATCTACTAGGATGGATGTATAGAAGTTAATCTACCAGGAGCACATGACCCACTGAGCGGTGAAATTATTAAATCAACAGGATTACATCTATGGCAAAATATCCTCTATGAGGCAATCTATGGCAGAGGCCTATGTTCAACAGTGCACTTTAATAGGCTATAATGGTAACGGTAACGTCTGCTTCTGTGTGTGTCAGCGGACTTATATATCTGCGAAATTTTATAACATGCATGTTTACGCATTATGTTTTCCTTCACCAGTATCCAATTAAACGGTTAATTGAAATTTTGAGTGAAGCTAGGGTGCTCGTGTACTGTGCAATTAATAGCAAACGCTTAGCCTCTAAATTAATGGCAAAAGTTTAGTAGTGGATCTTCTAAAAAGTGATGCCGATGAACAACATGAAACCTTATTCAAGAAAATAATTTGTGAGGCATCTATCTTAGTCCTCAGGGGTGACTACGTATCTATAGTCTCTTAGTTTTGTGAAGTACAGTTTATTTTTTTATTTTGAAGTTGGTTGCACGTGTCCATGGGCTGCAGTAGCCAGTTACCATCAGGTGGAATTGCACCTTGTTACCTTGAAAAACGCTTTGATTAAAAACGGCTATTGATGTCGTTGAAAATAATACAAAAGTAAGTACTTACACTGCTGTACAGGACAGACAAGCCACCCAATAACTATTACAATATTAAAATACAAATCCAGGATTGACTTTTAAAAGTATGTTCCTTTTTAAGGTTCCATACCCAAGGGGTAACCAATGTATTATTATTTATAATAATTATATTAATTTATTGTATTACTAAACCTCTGCTGTACGTACGTCTGTCTGTCTGTCGGCTGTATCTCATGATCCATAGTGGGTAGACAGTTGAAATGTTCACATAATGTGTATTTCTGTTGCCGCTATAACCACAAATAATAAAAATAAAAATAAATTAAGAAATAAATGGGGCCTCCTCTACTAGAAACGTGTTCTACGATGGTACGGAACCCTTCATGCGTGAGACAGACTCGCACTTGGCCGGCTTTTTAAAAGTATGTTTTGCGATTTATTGGTCAATTGTGATCCAAATTTGATTATTTTTTTTTATTAAAAAGAAAGAATAGAATCAAAATGTCTCCTTACTAAGGGTGGAATAAATAGAGAATGAAGTATTTGATACAACAGTTTAGACTACATGCTTGTTATTACCTAGAGCTTGTGTATAACTCCTCACTCCTCTCAAAATTCTCAAAATGGTCAAAAGTTAAATTTTAATAAAAATTAAAAACTGACTTACCATGTAGTGTCCTAAAAGAATATCCACTACCCCATATCATCCCGCGGGTATCGTAAAAGGCGACAGAGGGAGACAAATCAGGAGATGGGAAACAACGTCTTCCTTACAGGTACCTTCTTAAAAAGGGCTGCCAACCCGCTTACCAAGCTTGTCAACTACGGAGAAATCCCCCCATGGACTTTTATAGGCTCTAATAGATGGACCACTGCTGTATTAGAGCTATTCCATTATTTTTAATTCTTCTAATATTTTTAATTCCATAAATTAACCAAAACCGTAGAGCCGTGGTAGCTCAAATGGTTAGCGCTCGCTGCAAATTTCACAGTACGTGAGCAACCCGAGTTCGATCCCCGCCGGGACCAACGAAATTCTTAATTGTAATTATTTTAAGTGCTAACTTACGTGCTCAGCGGTGAAGGAAAAAATCGTGAGAAAACCTGCATGTTTGAAAAATAAGAAAATAAAATTTGACGACGCATTGAGGGCAGCGCGGCGGACACTTTCTTGCCCTAAAACCCTCTCAGAAATGATGGAAGGCCTTTGCCCAGCAGTGGGACGTATATGGGCTGCAACTTTAGCTTATTTTACTAAAACCGTGCCGTGTAGTGGTGGCGGAAGGGAACTACTCCATATCATCACATGTCACAAGTATAAGTTTCTGAGATATGTCTATTATATTTGTGCTATTTGCTGTATAGATTATCGGTTCATGTAATGGAACTTTTTCAAAATGGATTTTACACGTGGTAGAACCACGCTTCAACTATATTGTGGTTGTAACACGAAATATATCGGCTCGAGCGCTTAATGCTGCTATGTATCGTATGGTGAGTATAGGGAACCGGAGAATCTTTTAACTGAAAACGACACATTCTATATTAGTTCTCAGGGGTGACAACGCATCTGTATTTTGATTCTTAACCAAGGATAA